AGATTTGGTCATCTAAATTTCAGAAGCTTAGGGCATCTGAAATCAAAGAAGCCGGTACATGGAATTCCTATAATCAAGAAGCCTGAGAAGTCATGCAAGGTATGCATGGAAGGGACGCAACCAAGATTACCATTTGCATCAAAAGTAGATACAAGAGTAAAGCATGCCTTGGGAGTAGTGCATTATGATTTGTGCGGTCCATTTCCAGTAGCATTAATTGGAGGGAATAAATATTTTGTGTCATTTGTTGATGAGTTCACCAGAATGACATGAGTATCTCTCATAAAGTTCAAACACAAGGTGTTTGCTGAATTTCAAGAAGTTCAAACTAAAGGTTGAGAATTAGAGTGGCCAGACTTCAGAGAATCTTAAAACTGATGGTGGTGGTGAGTATAACTCAACGGAATTCAGAAGGTTCTGTGAGGAGAATGGAACTGAGCATGAGGTTACTGCTCCCTATACTCCTCAACACAATGGTCTTGCTAAAAGAAGAAACTATACTTTGCTTGATATGGTGAGAAGCAAGCTTAAAGAGAAGAAGCTTCCTCATACCTTGTGGGGAGAAGCTGTTGCCACTGCATGTTATGTGCTTAGCAGATGTCCAACGAACAAGATGAAGAAAATAGTTCCTATTCAGAAGTGGAATGGAGATAAGCAAAGTGTCAGTCATCTGAAGGTGTTTGGTTATGTATGTTAAAAACATGTCCCAGAAGCCATAAGACATAAGTTGGATGATAGAACTAAAGTAATGTTACTGGTGGGGTACCACAGTACAGGTTCGTGCAAACTTTATTGTCCAAAAACTAACAAAGTTGAGTTCAGCAGAGATGTCATTCTAAAAGAATCAGAAGTTTGGAATTGGGAAAGGTCTCGTCCTGACTCTGATGAGAGAACTCCTGAAGAAAAGTAAGAAACACATGTTTCAGAAGATGATTCTGACTCTGACTTTGATGGTGACTCAGACTCTGGGAATTTTCCAGACAGTCAAGGTTCTGGAGAAAGTCCAATTTCTGAAGCAAGAGCTTCTGAAGGGGAAAGTTCTGGTGTCAGAGGTTCTGAAGTTCAAATTCAGAGGCAACAAAGAGTCAGAAGCATCCCAAGAAGATTTGTAGAGTTTGACATGTTACAAGACACTGAAGTAGACTCCGAAGGAGAAGTTATTCAGTGTGCAATGTTAGTAGACTCTGAACCCTTGAGTACAGAAGAGGCTCTTAAGCAATAAGTCTGGTTGCAGGCCATGAAAGAAGAACTTGATGCTATAGACAGGATCAAGACTTGGAAGCTGACAGAACTTCCAAAAGGCAAGATAGCCATCATCGTCAGATGGGTTTTCAAGTAGAAGCTAAAGCCAGATGGATCAATTGGAAAACACAAAGCAAGATTAGTATCAAGATGCTTTCTACATAAGTCTGGGATGGATTACTCTGAAGTGTTTGCACCTGTAGCGAGACATGAAACAATCATACTAGTGATTGCAATAGCTGCTAACAGGAATTGGCCTCTGATGCACTTAGATGTAAAATCTGCATTTTTGAATGGTTCATTACAAGAAGAGGTATACATGTCACAAACTCATGGATTTGAGAAAAAGAATCAGGAAGGGATGGTGTTCAAATTACTCAAATCCTTGTATGGATTGAAGCAAGCGCCCAGAGTATGGAATTTGAAGATTGATTCATTTTTCAAGGGACAAAGGTTTCAGAAGTGTGAGATGGAGTATGGTGTTTATGTTTAGCACACTTCAGAAGGTAATATGATTCTGGTATGTTTGTATGTTGATGACATATTACTCACAGGAAGTTCTGAACAAGAGATATTTGAGTTCAAGAAGGTTCTGATGAATGCGTTTGAGATGACAGATCTTGGGAAAATGAGTTTCTTTCTAGGGATGGAGTTTATGTACTCCGAGAAAGGAATCATTTTCCATCAGATGAAGTATGAACTTGAGCTTTTGAAGAGATTTGGGCTAGAGAATTGCAAAATTTCTATCACACCTGCTGATACAAATCAGAAGTTGGACTCTGATTCTGATGGAGAGGATGTGGATGCTACAACCTTCAAATATATGGTTGGTTCTCTGAGGTATTTGTGTAATACCAGACCTGATATTTGCTATGCAGTTGGAATGGTTAGCAAACTTATGATTAAACTAAAGTGGTCTCATTACGAAGTTGTTGTCAGGATTATGAGGCATGTGAAGGGAACTCTGAAGTATGGAGTGTTATTTCCTTCTTGAAGAAAGATTGAATAAGAACTTCGGTTATTCAGACTTTGATTGGTGTGGAGACAGAGTGGACAAAAGAAGTACTTTTGGGTACTTATTCAAATTTCTGAGAGGTCCTATTTCTTGGTGTTCCAGGAAGCAACCTGTTGTTGCTCTGTCAATCTGTGAAGCTGAATATATTGCAGGCGCTCTGACTGCATGCAAAACTGTGTGGATTCTGAACTTGTTGTAAGATCTGAATATTGAGGTAGACAAACCTCTAAAGCTGATGATTGATAATAAGTCTGCAATCAATCTTACCAAGAACCCAGTGCTGCATGGGATAAGAAAGCACATTGAGACCAAGTATCACTTTCTGAGGAATCAGGTTCAAAGTGGAATATTAGAAGTTGTACACCGTAGCACCCAAAAGCAGCTGACAGATGTTCTGGCAAAGGCTATCAAGACTGATCAATTTCTTCGTTTGAGGAATGAAATTGGTGTTGTCAGTTTTGTGTAAATATAAATTTAGGGATGGTGTTGAAAATAATTTATATTTTAGGAATATCTAGGAATATCTTTTTATATCTTTGTAAGAGTGTATTTTAGTATTTTATTATACTCTAATTTTGTGTATAAATAGCCTAGTAGTAGGTAGGTCAATGTAATTCATTATTCCTTAATTTGTAGCCGTCATTAAATATATTCCTTTTCTTCTTTCATCTCTCCTTTGTGCACTAACACTTTTGAGTCATACCATGAAGTTATAAAAAGAGTGATAGAACGGAGATTAAGAAAAGAGACTCAAGTTACTATGAATTAATTTGGTTTTATGCCTTATAAGTTGACCATGGAAGCCATCTATCTACTCCAGTGTGTGATGGAACAATATCAGACGGAGCAACAAGACATGCACTTAATTTTTATTGACTTGGCGAAGGCGTATGATAAAGTACTTAGAGAGATTTTATGGAAAGCCCTGGAGAAGAAAAAAGATTAGGATTGCATATATTCGAGCTATCCAAGATATGTATGAAGAGGTATTGACTAGTGTACAAACACAAGGTAGAGAGATAGACAATTTCCCTATTACGATAGGTTTGCATCAAGATTCAATCCTAAGCCCATATCTTTTTACCTTAATTTTAAATGAACTCACGAAACACATCTAAGCGGTAGCACCGAGATGCATGCTTTTTTGTTGATGATATAATTCTACTTGAGAAGTCAAAGAAGGATTTAAATGAGAGGTAGGAGACTTGCAGACGAGCTTTAGAAACACATAATTTTTGCCAAAGCAGAAGTAAGACAAAGTATATGAAATGCAACTTCAATAAAAGAATAAGTGTTTCTAACATTGAGGTGAAAAATAAATACCATATCTCAAGCCACACAACTTTAAATATCTTGGGTGCGTAATACAAAATGATGGAGAAATAGAGGGGGATGTAAATTATCGAAGTCATCCCGAGTGGCTGAAATGGAGAAGAGATTAAGGTGTTTTATGCAACACAAAGGTACCGCTCAAGATGAATGGGAAATTTTTATCGAACTGCAGTGAGACCTGCAATGTTGTACGTGACATAACGTTGAGTGGTTAAGAATCAACACAAGAATAAAGTAAGTGTTGCAAGATGATAATATTGTGTTGGATGTGTACGTGGTAAGACTATACAAGATAATATTAGAAGTGAGAATATTAGAGAGAGTGTTAGGGTAGCGCCTATAGTTGAGAAAATGGTGAAAACTATACTTAGGTTTGAATATGTAGAGATTAGACCTGTAGATTATGTGCTAAGGATAATAGATTAGATGAAGAGAAGTCAAACAACTAGAGGGATAGAAAGACCTAGAAAGAATATAAGTGAAGTTATTAAGAAAGATCTTAATATTAACGATTTGAATAGAAAAATGGTCAAAGATAGAACATTCAACATTATGACAACAATTGATCCATGTAACTGACTTCAATTAGTGGGATAAAGCTTGATTGTTGTTATTGATTAATATATTATTTTAGTTTAGTAAAAATAATGATATGGTTAAATAACAAAACAAATTGTTTCATTACACGTCATTTTTTTTTTTGTGCCACATATTGAAAATAAGTTCACATTAGCGATTTTTTTGACTAAAAATACAGAAAGTAGATACAAATTGTTTAAAAATAAAATAAAGAGAGTGATTTCGTGAACAAACCAAAATTAATTGAGGAAATCATAATTATAATTTAACCTAAAAACTATTAAACTTAAAATATATATCTTTTGATCTTGATTTAATGAGAATGCGTGAATGCAAAAATTTATGACGATAGAGAAAACCAGTCAACTTGAAGGTCATTGAATCTAATAACAACATTTAACTTTATTAATTTAGAAGATTGCTTATTATCATACCATATGTATTTCTCACAAACTATATAAAAACTAGAAGTTGCTCTTTCTAAAATCATCTTTTGGACACACTCTTATTTCCAATTGTTTTGTTTGGACGTATGCTTAAGTTATCTTTCAAACAAGTTCTTTTCAATTTTATTGCGTGAGGCTAAGTGAAATAGATTACCACCTCAATGATACAATTAAAAACTCCAATTAATTAATAACCTTAGAAATATGAGGAGTTTGATCTTTTATATATATGTTTATGTTTCAACTAGTACACTTTAATTCTAATTAATAATAACTTCCCCCCTTAAACAGTTTTACTAATTTTCCTTCACAAAACAAATAAATTTAAAGAGACATTGATATAAAAAAACAAACAAACTTGTTATCATAAAGTATAGTTGATTATTATGGACATCACAATTACATCAAAAGAAATAATAAAACCATCATTTCCCACACCAAATGAACACAAACTCTTAAAACTATGTCTCTTTGATCAACTTCAATTAGTAACATATTTACCAATGGTTATGTTTTACCCTAAAAAAGAAAGCCTAATTGAAATCTCCCATTTTATTACTCAATTAAAAAAATCACTTTCTGAAACACTAACAATTTTCTACCCTATAGCTGGAAGAAGAAAGAATCACACTTTCATCACATGTAATGATGAAGGTGCTATTTACTTGGAAGCCAAGGTAAACCAAACCATGGTTGAGTTTCTCACCCCACCTAAGCTAGAATTTCTAAACAAATTGCTTCCATGTGAGCCTAATAAAATGCATCAAAAAATTGGAGAAGAAGAAGATTTACCACAAGTACTTGTTCAAGTTAACATATTCAAGTGTGGTGGAATAGCTATAGGTACTTGTAATCTCCATACCCTCCTAGACGGTTGTTCCGGCAGCCTCTTTCAAACTACATGGGCGGCCATTTGTCGTGGCCGCCCTAGCAACGAATTGCCTCGTCCCGATTTCTTTTCCGCTTCTTCCTTCTTTCCACCAAATGATAATTTAATTTTGCATGATCATGTTGGTGAAAATGATAATGAGGTATTAGATGTTCAAAAGAAATGTAGCACAAGAAGATTTGTGTTTGGTTTAGAATCGATCAACGCTCTACGAGATAAAGCGAAAGACGACGATTATAATGATAATGATAATGAAAGATCTAAGTTTCCTACAAGATATGAAGTATTAGCTGCTTTTATTTGGAAACATATGACACTTGCATGTAAAAAGGAGGGAGGTGTAGATAGCAAAAGACCAGCATTGGCTATACATATTGTGGACATGAGGAGAAGGATGGGCGAGCCATTTTCTAAATACACTATAGGCAACATTTTGTGGCCAGTGATGGTGTTTTGTGAAGAAGTTAATGAAGAAATTGATATAAAATATTTGGTTAGAATTTGTAAAGAGAAATTTGGGAAGGTTTCAAGGGAATTGTTTTTAAGAGTGAAGAATGATACAAGTATGTTAGGGAGCAATGAATGTGTGGATTTGCCACAAGGTGTTGAGACAAAGTGTCCAATTCCAGTGGTTTTGACAAGTTGGTGTGGTTTGAATTTCAGTGAGCTTGATTTTGGTTGGGGGAAGCCTTATTGGGTTGGTGTTAGAGGTGGTGATCAAGAAACACTTCCTAATGTAGCTGTTATTATGGAAACAGATGAAGGAATGGAAGCTTGGTTGACAATGGAAATGGAACATATAGATAACTTGGAAAATGATATGGAGTTTCTTAAATTAGCTTTGTCTAATCCTAGTGTTTCAAACATATAGCTATTATGATATATGCAAATGAATTGATTGACAAAGAAATAACAACTGAGAATTGATATCAGCTGTAGTTGGATATTATAATTCAACATGTCAAGTTTTTTACTTTCAGTTACTAAACTGTACACATGCAGCTATAGACCCTCCTGATTTTGCATCAAATACTTGGAGTTTATTTTTTAAACAACTTTGTAGATTTCTTATTGTGTCCTTAAAAATTGTTGAAATTATACCTAAAGTTTAGAGAATTTCAGATCAATCTTGATATATAAGAATCAATCACATTGATTGATTTCGCCTCTTATTTTTTATTCTTCACTCGAATGAATCAATCACACCTTGGTTGCAAGATGATTCTGTGCAACAATGATAATGGGAGAAGAAAGAATTGAATTGGGAAAGAAAATGAAATTATGGTTTTAATGAAAGAATAAGAAGAAATAGTTGTGAATTCTGTAGAAAAGACCCTCTACTCTTTATTTTACTTACTGCAATATTATGATTCACACTTTACAATAATATGGTACCTCCCTATTTATAGGCTATGGTAGTTTGTTCACTAAGAACTCGAACAAACTAACAAAAACAATACTAAGTCGAAATTCTGTCAAGGCTACCTCTTTCGACATTTCAACATCTATACATTTCGACACACAACACATATCGACACAAAGAATTATATTCTCAACATACTACTGTTAGTGCAACTTGCCTCTAGATTTATTTTGATTGATGTCAAAAATTACAATAACTTAACATTTTTGTATATTGGACGTTATCTCCGAGTTAGTGTGGCATCATGTGCATTTAGTGGTCTTAGAAGTCATATGAATCATCTTAAACATGTTTGAAATTGGTCTCATCCATTAAAAATTATTTTATGCAAAAAATTGTACTGCATGTGCCGACACATACGTGTTTCAGGCTGACACATGCAACTCAATAATAAAGCTTGTGGAGTCTCTGTTGCTTAGGCCGACACATGCTGTGTATAGGCCGACACATGTGCTATCATATTGAAGCATGTAGTCACTGACTAGCTCAGGTCGACACACGCTCCTTCATAGGTCGACAAATACGACTGGTTTTATGTCCATTTGTCGGCACACCTGTGTCTCAGGCCGATACATACTTATTATTTGAGTCATTTTTATTTAATTCCTTGATTCCTACAATTTCCTTTTTTCTATGTAACTTACATAACTATAAATACATTATTCATGTATCATTCAAACTTGATGAAACTATAAACACTTAGTGCATTTGTTCTTCATCTTTAACCTCCAACCTATACATACACACTGATAAATCACACATAATCATCTTTTATTGGGGTGCCATCTAGGTGATGTTTAATAACGTCCAATTAGGTTATTGTGTAGCCGAGAACATTTTGTTGAAATTTACAGGGGATTTCATCTGGAAAAACTGTGAGTTTGCCTTCTAAGAACTTTGGTAGATTTTGGGGTTTTCATTCAATATTTTCAAGAGAGTATTGCAGCCTAGTGAAAATCCTTCAGAGTTTGGTACCCAAGGAAGTAGCGTGAGAACGGCGAATCGAATTGAAAGCTCTTGTGTGCAATAAGTACAATTGATCATGCACGAAAGAGCTTTGGAGTTTGGTACCCAAAAGAGTAGAAATATTCGATAAATCAATTGGTATGCTATTGTGTCTTGGTCTTACTCAAGATAAAAAAAAAAGAAGGGGTTGAATTAACAACAAACGATTAGGGTTTGTAAGGTTGCTCTTGGAACACTTCTCTTGTAACAACTCTTTGCATAGTAAGAAATTATCCTAATTCCAAAATTGGAATTGGGGGGAGACGTAGCCATAGCAAGGACGATTGACGAACTTCCTAAACAAACCCTTGTGTCTCTCTATATTATCTCTTTACTTGCTTTATTTTTATTAAGCAATTTGTCGAATAGCATTGATTAAATGATCGACTCGTAAGAATTTTTCTGTGGTTGTTTTTGTTTTAAATTGATTGTTGATTAGCTTATAATCACTTTTGATTATAAGTTCTTTTCATATTAACATAAATCAAAGTAAAATTATGGAAAATTCGGTCGTACACTAAGTGTTTGACAAATTGCATAGTTTGTTATTCAATAAGCGCTCTCTAAAGGCCCCTATAGACAACGCTTTTTACATCATAAGCGCTTTCTAAAGCACTCCTTTAGACAACACTTTCACTTTAGACATCGCTTTTAAAAGCATTGTGTAATGTATATTTTTTTCTGTTTTTTTCTGTTTTAAGCAACGCTTTCTTTAAAAGCGCTCTCTAAAGTCTCTTTTAGGCAACATTTTTTACTTTAGAAGCACTTTCTAATGCACCCCTTTAGGCAGCATTTTCTTTAAAAGCGCTTTCTATTCTCCACTATAGGCAACACTTTTTTGTTTAAAGTATTGTGTAATGTTCACATATTTTTTAATATATACAACTTATATTTTAATCGCTCTCTACAAATAATCACTTAAAATAGGCGCTGTCTTTCAAATTTGCACCAGATTTTATAAATTTGCAGCTTCAATCTAATAAATACGCACCAAATTTACATATTTATATATACAACTTTAATCCTAAATGAACTTGTTATCTCAATATCTTCTACATATGCACCTACCTGAAACAAAACCAACAAAGGCATACCAGAACCAAGCTATATAACACTTAAATCTTATAACTATTATAATTTAACACAAATCAATGTAACAAAAACAAATCAAGAATCCTTTATAACCCACCATTAGAAATTCTCCAATTCATACCATGATACAAATAAAACTTTATTTGAATTTAACTCCAATACTATCATAACTAACCTTCCACATAACAACAACAATATTGCAACATAATTTACCACACTAATAACAACATAGTATCTCATTAAAACTCAAACTTATATATACTCAAAATTCTTATCAATGAAAGTGTCACAATACCTTATAAAGTTCTCATCTCAATAATGTATTGACACCGATCCTCCTTAATTTCATCCAATTGATCTTTCGAGTAAGTAGAAAACTTGTACTCATCAAAGTACTACATAATATAACATAATATGATTTAGTTAAAACTAATTAATTAGATGAAATGTGTTAAATATTAAAGTAAATCATAAGTTAGAAACCCATACCATGGTTGGAATCTCTATTTGATTCAAAAGAATAATTTTTTTCATAAACCTCAACATGAAATAACCGCAATCTATACCATTACCCTGACGAGGACACTGCACATGGAAAAATACGAATATATATCAGGATATATAGTTTAACTTGTTTTATCAAGTAGCGTCACTAATATAATCAAAATTGTGAAAATATACCTGCACTCTAATCTATGTAATGTTGTTTGCTTTACTCTTTAGTACTTGAGTATCTCTCTGTGATCGAAAAATTTGTATAACTCTAACAAAATATAAACGAATATTTAGAACAATCTCACATAAATAAATAAATGAATATACAAACAAATATTTATAACAATCTAACTTAAGTATCAACCATCTTCTTCATATCTGGTTATTTTATCCAATCACCTTCTAAGGAATCCAGATAATATACAATTTCTCTTATAGGATTAATCGCAACCAACAATCAGTGTCCACTGTAAGATTAACAAAGGTTAGATGGAAACTTTCTAAACAACGTCAAAACACAAACAATTATAATAGATGAAGTTAGAATGAAAATCTAACCCATTGCCAGTATTAAATGGTAAAAACAACTTTTTTGTATCTTTGTTAGCCATAAATGCACAGACAAAGTACTCTTTGACTTCATCTGGTCTTTGATTGATTAATCGTGAGTTGATATTGTTGGGAGATAAGAAATAAAATCTTTGTTCCAATTGATGCGGACACATCAAATTGTCATACATGAACCTTAAATAAAAACATCATTAACATTAAGACTATTCTTTGAAATGAGTAAATAAATTGTTCAATTAATTAAATAAAGTTGATCGGAGTATACCTGATGTATGTATCGATAACACTGAGTCCTAATTTTGAATATCCAAAACCTTGTTCCATATCCTCTTTACTATTTGTTTCGTAATAGGAAAAACCAAAAATACCTTCCTCCATAGGTATATTATGAGTACTTCCGTCAGCCAAATCTGATATTCCTATTAATGTCTGAAGGCACGATCTATATCGAGAAGTAGGCTTTTTTTAGCCGTGGTCTTTACAACATCCTTTTTTTGTGTGGACATGTTGCCAATTTCAGGCTTCTTACTCCTACTGACTTGTTGCATCTCTTTATCATGAAGCTAAAGATCAAATGCATATAAGTTAGGTGAAGTATAAGATCGTTAATTAACATTTTCTATGTATATATATCACTATACCTCTTTTTTGGATGCAACTAACTCCGTTTGTGGCGTAATCCCCTTATCTTTTAATTTGGATTTTGTAGGAGTTTAACATTACCATGAAAAAAATGTACGTTAGATGGTCATAAAAAATTTGAATACTCAAAGGTTTATAATGGTTTTTAACATACCTCATCATCTATGCAAATGAGGTTTGACGGCCATGCAACATACGATCATATTGCCTCTCCCACCAATGTTACATCTAAAATATCGTAAGGTAAAGGTAATGGTGTATCCCTCTCTAAAGCAATATCAATTTATACTTTAAAAAATCCAGTATGGATCGATTTATGGTGAAGTACTTCTCTCAAAGTTTTATGCACTTTTCTCTTGCCAACCATGCGATAAGTCGATGACGATAAATAAAACTGACAAGGTGAAATGTCCTAAACCAATAATAAATATGAAATTGTTAATGTGTATATATGTCCATTAAAAAAATTGTGATAATTCGTAATAATATATATTACCTATGTAATTTTCTATTGGAAATCACAATTGTTATTATCTTTGTCACTAGTATCCTTGAACTCTGAACCTTGCCTTTATGACTGATGTATTTCTTTATCCTTTTCCAACTCACGAACTTTAGTTTTTAAATTTTCTAACTCTTCCATC